TAAACACTAACCGCAGGACACGGCTCTGTTAGACAATGGCCTCACACAGATAATAAAAAGAGATGGTGCACAGAGGCGTGTGTTGTGATAAATATTCATTGATTTATTAAAACGTAGCTGGGAGCGTTTGGAGTGGTGACCTTGAGAGCGGCAGGTATAGCGCTAACTCTGAGCGGAGAGGAGGGACAGCGTGGGCGAAGCGAACGGGGAGAGCGTACAGGGGCAGGTCAGCTAACGCGCCTAGCCTCATTTGAATATGCTACTGCAAATCTCTGTTTGCATTGACACTTTGCAGCCGATGTCATTAAAAGGCCCGAATCCGGTGGTGGAATGCAATGAAGTAAAAGTGGTAAAGTACTGTACTTAAAAACACATTACACAACTTTTCTGATGGACAGTCTGCCACCTGCTTTTCTCCATGGAGATGTTATTGCTTTGTCTGGAATGTTTCACAGTATGGCATTAAAGCTTTCTATCACCATGGAGACCAAACCAGGCCAAATTACGGTTACACCCTTATCATCAGAAAGCCCACTAGTCAGAAGGCCCACTAGTCAGAAGGCCCACTAGTCAGAAGGCCCACTAGTCAGAAGGCCCTGTAGTGTAGACATTACGGTTAGATTTGTCTGGCGTTTGAAGTTTGACCATGTGAAAATTGAAATGGCTGCTGGCACCTTGGAAAATGGATCAAGGTCAAATGGCTGGTGTGGGACAAAGGTCATGGTAGGGATAATAATTTGGCACAGTGAAAAGGATCTTGTTGTAAAAATCCTTTATATTGTAAGCAAATCTATTTCCCATTGAAATGCATCGGAAAAGTGAACTTTGCCCTATAAGATCCACAAAGCAGGTCACTGTGACATAATTCAAGAACTGGAAAGAGCTATCACCCTAAGATATCTAAAGACATTCATATGGACTCTGTAAGTCAAACAGTGTAGATTTGTCCAGCCATGGTTAACGGACAGACAGACGGACGGATGGACGCCGGACAATGGGTGATCGCATAAGCTCAGCTTGAGTTTACAGCTCACAAACTGAGCTAAAACTGCCTTACAGTCGGCCCTTTTCAATACGACCAGGCGGGATACACAGAACAGGAGCATTTTTATGACATGCCTAAATAGTACATATACTTTGAGCTGAGCTAAAAATATCAAGGCCTCTTATTTTCAATTTGTTTGCAAAATTGGAAGTTCGTATAAAATTTAATGTCTTTATGAACTTTGAGGTGAAAATTTGGAAAATACCCTCCAAGATCTGTGGTCTACTGAACACACTACCTGAACATGGATCTTGTGACTAGAGGGTCTTCTGATGATAAGGCTGACCCCCAAGTTACAGGTCAGATTTGTAGAGAGGGAACCTGTTTTTCACCTATGGAAGTTCCAACTAACTCATCTTTTTCTGCTAAAATTGTTTTATAAATTGTGTTATAAATAAAGATGAGCTTAAAGTCAAATTTGAGTATCAGAACTTCAGACAGAGCAGTGCAATTAGTTATCGTCACACTGTGCCACTATCCCAGATGGTTGTTTCTGTGTCATGGTGCAATTTCACAGTGGCCGAAAGGACTAAGTGAGAGGGTTAAAGTTAAAATTCATGGTCTGAAAAAGAGGTCTGCACGGGATAGAATTTTAGTCCCGCTTCCTCCCACACCCGCATTGTGCAGTCTCGCTCCCGCTCGTGCCCGCTAAAACTGTCATTTTAATTTCTGCTCCCACCTGCATCTGTGATATTTTGTCCCGCTCTCATTTGCAAATCCAGCAAGATGAGGATGCTCGCTTTCTAAAGCTCAATCTAACACAGAGAAGTGGAAAGGAATTGTCTAAAATGTGCTCGAGATTAGTAGCAGTAGATTCATCAACCGGTTTCACTTCATGGAAACCATCTGGCCTCTCAGCATTAGGATTCATTTGCTCGACGGTACACGGGTACTTTTTAAAATTTAACCAATCACGGCTATTTGGTCGTGACGTATGTAATGCACCGCTAACGGGACTAACTGGTACATTAAGCTTTTCCCAAATCCCGTAGGAAGAAGGACAATGACGTCTTTCTCCTTGATAAAATTCACCAAACTTTATCTTTATTCCAACTTTAAATCCTTGATCTCGGGAATTGTTGCCAACATAGAATCTATGGCTCTTTGCTGATTGGCCGGTGCGCGGACTCACACTTCCAGGGTTACTGCAAACTGTTTAGTTTATTCTGATTCCTAACCTAGTCGCTGGAGAGAAATGAAATTGAGTTGAGGCACGAGGTCGCACCAGCCTGGCTATGAGATTAGACTCCATATGCAAGTTTAGGCTGTTTAAAATGTTTTTATTAATGCCAAATAAAAATCCAGCACAAATTATTTATGATAGGCATACATTAATCATTAGTACACTTTACTTTGTACTCATATTTAGTTTGCGGGACTGCATTTATCATCCCACCCGCCTGCTCCCAACTGTGCAGTCCAACACAATGAGCTTTCAAAATATGTCCTGTGCCACAGTGTTTTGTGTCGGGTCCCGCGGGCGAGTGCAGGGCTCGAGTTTGAAATCAACAACAGGCCCTTTAACCTTACTTGGGGTGTAAAGCTAAGTGGAGGCACTGCTCTGTCTGCAGCTCTGTTATTCAAGTTAGACTTTAATCTAATCTCTTTTTTAATACAATCTGAATGTAGTTGGATTACAACAAATGTACTGTTAAACAAGTCCCTCTCAAACAGTATTACAGTCACAAGCTATGAACACTCGTATTGATCACAGGCTCCTGAAAATGTGCTGTTTAAAACCTTTTGGCTGGGGATCCGTTACCTGCTTGTCTATGGATATGCCACTGCTCTGCCTGGAATGTTCCACAGTATGACATTAAACAGCTCTATCTTACATTTAATCAATTACAGATGGTTTTTCAACTCAAAAATACCTACAAAAACAAGTATTCTCACGGTTGTCTCTCCACTGATCTGACCTGTAACTTGGCCTGGTTTGGTCTTGAAGACAGACAGGTTTATGCCATGCTGCAGAACATTCCAGACAAAGCAATAGCATTTCCACGGAGACAAGAAGTTGATGGACCCTCCACCAGAAAATGCACCTTTAAATCTATCGTATATTTTTCCCTTGAGCTTTCAGACAATCTTTGCTAATGTGCGCGTGTGGAAAATCCAACCTCCACGGACGACTGGAGGCTATATACAAGCGAGCTAAGCTAAATGAAGCTAGCAGTTTTGAAAGTTTTAAAATGAGAAATATGCAGGTTTAAAGTCACTCCTGGGATTGGATAATGATGGAAGTGATTAGGACGTGGAGACGCTACACCCACCACCAACAATGAGAATATAGATAAATAAACACACTGTGATGAGCTGCTACCAAACAATGATTAAGAGTGAAATCTCAAGGTATGAATAATGTAATTTTCAGCAAAGGAGAGCAAAGTAAACATGAATACATTGAGCAGAATAAACTCAAATGAATCATTGAATACATTTGAAAAACAAATAGATGAGTCTGAATGGATAAATTAAAGTAGTATGTCTCGTATTTTTACACTACCAAAAACAATTGAAGTGAAAATGAACATCTAGACCACTCATCTCTCTAAAACACAGTTATCATCATTAAGATTTTACTAGAAATGCCTAGTTGTTTCTTTTCTTCTGAATTAGTTCATTGTTCTTTTTCTTCAATACGTTGCTGTGAGCTATTATTTTTTCAATATCATTGCCAAAGCCCATATAGAACCACAGACAGCAATGAAACTATGTGTTAGATTTCATCTTTCATATCACATTCTGAATCCTTATTCAACCAGGGTTCACATGAGCATTTAGGAAACAGCAGTTCCCCAGTGTTCTTGTGCGTTCAGTCTACGAGGAGCAGCTGCAGCTTTCACCCCGACAGTAGATGGATTATTTGTTTATCAGCACAGAGTGCAGAAAGCACCACTGTCTGACCTAGCGATGTTGTCAGCACTAAAATTGTTTATCAACGTGTGATGTGAAGTTCTTATGCTAATTGAACATTAGTGAGTAGGATATGCCTTAATGCCTTAATGACGTATGTGTTAAATGCAGGTGAGTGCATAAATGACGAGAAGAAACGTCTCAAAAAACATCCATTCATACCTGATTGACCCTGGAAGAGCCTGAAATCTGCTGAAATCCTCCAAGACACTGACATGATGCCAGATAGGACCAAATAGTTGGCGGCTATTGAAAAATGAATGTTTTCCCTTAAATATGAAAGGCTCTTTACAGTGTGTTTAGCCAGGTTTTCACCTGGAACACTAAAGAAATCTGGCACCTATTGAACAAAGTGAAATAGATAACACATGCCTTTCACAGACACCAGAATGAACACATTCACAGTTCATTCATGAGGCACCAATACAACGTGTTCATTGGACTATTGTTCAATTAATGTGTTCAGGGACAACACTGACCATAATGTGAACAAGGGAAAAAACATGTCTAAACTGCCCACCGGTTATGATCAGACTAATACAAATGAATTACAACATCTTTGGAATTTTCACTGTTGATCACATAGGCAGAGGTATTCTCTTCTGTATTTTTGTACTTTTCAACATTTGGCCGTATACTGCCACTTAAATGTTCACTGTGCATTGGCTTGTGTCCATGGAGATGTTATTACTTTGCCTGGGATGTTCCACAGTATGGCTTAAACAAATATATACTGTATTTACTAAATAACAGTTCAAAACTAGAGTCAACACATGCATTATTACTGTGAAGGGACCCACTCCTCCACAGATCTGACCTGTAACTTGCCCTTGTGACGTGGCCTGCTTGTCTCCATGGAGATAGGAGTTCAATTGTGAGGCTAGTCTATTCTATCAGACCATAATGAATCTCTTAGTGCAGGTGGCAGTTGGAGTCTGTCCTCTAGGGGGCGTTGTGGAGACGTGAGGTGAGTCAGAGCTCTCCTGCGGCTAAAGGCTAATGAGGCTAACACACAGATGCACACAGAAGAGGTACTTACTCAGGTGAGGGTTGATGGGAGCTGCAAGAGAACAGAGAGAGAGAGACAGCTGGTTAGAATCACGGCACCACAAATATGACTAAATAAAGAGACATAACTTAAATACAGTGAAGTGTGTATGATTATGCTTCAGAAATAAATGATATATTGCGATAGAGAATTATTGCGATAAATTATAACATTGAAACTACTGTATGCCCCATACAATAACACAGTATCATTAAAAACATGAGATGCAACAAACAAATCACAGAATGAAACAATATTTAGGCTTATACTTTATTTATTCTACTATCCACAGCACAAATTTAACTTTTCACCGCTCACTGCTTTTGCAAAGAAACTGTACACACGATAAATATTTAGCACAGAAACACAGTCGCAACTGGTATCTGCAACCTGCCAACAACTCCGATTTATTTATTTATTTAACTTTTTTCTTAAGTTGATAACCGGCTCTCTTACTTGTTGGGAATCTAAAAAAAAAAAAAATCTTCAAACTTTGCTTTTAGTTGCTTTTTGAGGGAGTAGTAAAGGTAGGTGTTGGAAAATCTAGGTCACAGATTTTGTTTTTATAGAAGCTCTTAGACAATTATCCGGCCCACTTTGATCTGCAGTCCGATGTGAAAACTTATCCTAGTATTTATTTCAAATCTTGTATTTTTCTGTGCGCATGATAGGCTCTATACAAATAAAATTCCACTGTAGATAGCTTTCAAAAGTGCTCTTATGTCTTTTAATCTTTATTTAGTTACAATATCAACAAAGTATCAATAGACTTAGGCCATTTGAGCTGCTGACGCTCCAGTTTAGACCAAGTCCCTTACAAATGTTTGATGATAATTATTATTGTGAATAGGTTACATTAGCCTATATATTACAGTGATTTGTTAGAGTGTTTGTTACACCCACGATCAAAGTGGTTCTTCCCTCTGCATCAAACCCATAGACAAAGAAGTGGACTAAGGCATTGTTTCCGAAAGACTGGGTAGTGACCCTCAGGTGGGTTGCAAGAGAGTTCTTTGGGGTCGTCTTTTCTCGATCTGCATGTAGATCTGCAATATACATATACATACATCTCTGTGCACCCCCCACTGCTTTGTCTAACCAGTTTTCTGTGGGAAACACTGATTATTGCTTTTCCTTGTTTAAAGCTTGAGTACCGTATTTTTCAGACTATAAGGCGCACTTAAAATCCCTTAATTTTCTGAAAAATCAACAGTGTGACTTATAATCCGGTGTACCTTATGTATTCATTCTGGTTGTGTTTACTGAGCTCAAACCGATTTTCACATATATTAGTCATGTACTTTAGTCTGATAGAAGTTGACTGCATTAGCGTACAAGAAGCAAGCTGTTATTTTTTATCGCTTAAAGTTTATGCAAATGAGCCATGTGGTTTTACGTTTCGTCTCTGTAAAATGTAAACAAATGTGGGCAAAGCTGCATTAAGCACATTATTACTCAATGAATATTTGAGTCATCCTTGTAGGAAATAAAAAAAAATTCAAGTCTCAAGTGTCGTCCGTTTATTTCGTTTAATGCGCCTTATAATCCTGTGTGCTTTATGTATGAAAACAAGCAAGATAATCCAACATTACTGATATTGCGCTTTATAATATTATTGTTCAGAGAAACACAATCACTCAGTCAACAATAAAATATCCTCATTAATGTTCAATAATAATCACACATTTATTTTGTGATTTATGAATAATGTCTATTGACTTGGGGCGCAAAGATTTGTGACTTTTAAAATATGGGTCCCCAGAAAAAAAAGTCTGGGAAACACTGTGCTCAGCTCCAGTCACATGAAGCTCATGAGGCTAGCAGTTACAGGGGCAAATTTAGAGCTGAGTTTCATATTAGGATTAGGAATTTATTTACAGACAGAATAGCAAAATAAAAACATCAAGATCATGTACTGGAGTATGAAGTCAGTTGGAAACAGAGTCGAGTCTTAGTGGGTTTGCTATGTCCATTTTCTAGTATATACACAAACTATGACCATGTCTAGATTCAAATATGGCCCTCAGGAAAAAAAAAAAAATAGAATAATAATTTTATAAGTCCACATTATAGGAGAAAACCAATATGAGTAACCTTTAAAACAGAATGGATCTTTCAGACAGCACCCTTCAGCAGTAAAGTCCCACTGCAGCAGGCGTACAGAGCTGCTGTCTGCGCGAGATAACACTGGACATGTACACTGGAGCACTTACAAACTTTGTGCCCAAGTCTCATAAAACAAAACAAAAGTGCCCCCTGGGACGAGAGCGCATATTTCCCTGCGATATTAAAGAAGCCTAGAAGCATATTAGGGCCGCCTCCTCCATCTTTGTCAGGGCTTATTGCTTTGTACAATCTGCAAGAGAACAGCAAAAAACACAAAGGTACACAACGCTGACAACAGCTGCCTGAGCGACCAAGGAACTGCCACAGGAACACTGGAACGGGGAAACTTTAGAATATTATTATAGAATATAAAGTGAAGTTACTCTCGGTTGATGCCAGTTAAAGGTGCACTGTGTAACTTTTCTGGATGTAAGTTGGTGCCTGCTGGTCACCATGGAGATATTGCTATGGAACGTTTCATAGCAAGCCATAACATCTTCATAGACAAGCAGGTGGCACACCCTCCGTTAGGAAAGTTACATAGTGTACCTTAACATTATAAAGACATGTTACTGGATGTTAGTTTTGTTATGAGTAGAGGTGTAACGATATCCAAGTCTCACAACACGATATCGTCACGGTACGATATTTATTGCAATATCGTGGGAAAGCTCACAATATGATGGGGAGGCTCATGATTAGAAATGTAACAATATCCAAATCTCACAATACGATATTTTGTGGAGGCTAATATGCCTTGACCAGACTTAATCCAAAGAACTAAGACTTAAAAGTGCTTAGAACTGTTATTTCTTCATGTAGTCGACACTGAAATGGAGCAAAGGATCATGGTCTATGTAGTTCCCTCTGTCTTTTTTTAGCTGTTGCTGCACCATAACTCTTCATTTAAGTAAAGACACTTGTAATTTGATATATTGAGAAGGTCCACGACATTATTGTGAGAACTTTGACGATACAATATCACAATATTTTGGTTATTGTTACATGCCTAGTTATGAGTAGTTTTTTAGTTTATTTAGATTGAGTTTCTTGTTAGGCTTGTTAAGCTTTAATGCTCTTCTGTATATATATATATATATTTTGTAGAATTATCAGTTTTCTTTTTTTTCGATTGAAATATAAAAAAAAAAGGAAAATATATTAAAATATGGTCTAAAGGCAATTAAAGCCACAGTGTGTAACGTTTTCACAAAAACAAAATAAATCTGATGAAATCATTATTTTGGATGTTTTTATTGCAGTGAAAAAAAAAAAAAAAAAGACATGCATCCTCATGTTCCACAGTATGGCATAAAATGTTAAAATCTCCATGGAGAATGTGAAGTGTGGTTTTAACTTTCTTTTTCCATAGAATCATGGAGATGATGCTCCACCTCCACCAAGTCACATAAAGTACTCAGTACTCTTAAATGTAAACTTTTTTTTTGCAATTTTGATTTTCTTAGAGGTGCATTGTGTAACGTTTTTAGTTGGAGGTCTGTCACCTGCTTATTTTTATGGATATGTCATAGCTCTGTCTGGAATGTTCCATAGTATGACTTTAAACAGCTCTATTTTACATTTATTAAATTACAGGTGGTTTTATAGGTCAAAAATACTCAGAAAAACAGACATTTTGACTGTGAGCGGGGTTGCCTCTCCACAGATCTGACCTGCAATTTGATTTGGTTTAGTCTCCATGAAGACAAAGCAAAGACATGTCCATGAAGAGAAACATTTGACAGACTCTACCAGCAAAGTTACACAAAGCACTTTTAAATGTAAACTTTTTTTTTTCTTACTATTTGCAAACTTCCATATGCACAAGTCCATCTGTTTTGTAAAACTAAGTCACCCATACTGTAACTTAACTGTGTGGTGCCAACAAAACACTCTATTATTTCACAGCTGCAGAGAGCCAAAAATAGACTTAAATAATTACAGATGCTGAGCGCGGATTTGAGAAGAGCTTTGGTTTGAATGGACTCCACTGGTGTTAATGAGACGACAGCTGCTCAGGAGGAGTCTGTCACGAGGACTGGTCCAAAGTGAACGGAGGAACGAGACTGTGTGATTAAGATCATGTGGGGGAGTCTGCACAGGCGGCCATTTTAAGGACTTAGTCAAGAGTCGTTGTGAGAAGGGCTGTGCAAATTTGTCAACACTTGAACCAAAAGTATATATAGCGTCATGAAGCATATTCTAGAATTAAGCAGGTTTTTACATCTGAACTTCTAAGGCCCCATCCAAACATATTCGAGTTGTTTTCGTTGTGGATGCAGTGTTCGTCCACACTAATCCGACTGAAAACGGCTCCAGAGACGGAACGATCTGGTGCCGCCAGCTCCCGCGAATTAATTTTAGTACACATCTGATCCGGCACTGTGTGGACCTGAAAACACTGATACTCTGATGTAGGTCTATGCGCCGCAAAGTAATTCACCACCAAAACGCTAAGAGGCTAGAATATATGTCCATTCATATAAATGGTGTGTGTGTACGACCTGCAGACGTATAATCTCTGAAAAGCTTAATATGAATCATCTTCAACACGATAGAAGCACAGAACAGACTCACCATCAGCAGAACACCCCCTCTGTCACAGAAAGAACACTCATATTCCACTGAGTCGCGTCCTTTAGTCCGACAGAAGCTGAACCGCATCAACGCACAAGGAGCGAGCTGTTTTTTGAGCACTTAGTTTATGCGAATTAGCCATGCAGTTTTAAGTTTCGTTTCTGTAAAATTTAAACAAATATGCTCAAAGCTGTGTGGATAGGAAAGGATTGCGGACACAGAAACGATGTGTCTGGATGCAGATCGTTTCCGATACGGTGATACGCGGATTCATTTCATTGTAAACATAGCCTAAGGTGGAGGGTTCCCTATATGTTTGTTTCTGTGGA